CGAAATTATATCTTCTGAAAATAAATTCCATCAAAGTTATTTTATAAGATTTTAAATATTAAAATCATTGATTATTTATTTCAATAATATTATCAAACGAGATTGTAATAATATAAAGTAATGGATATCTATTTGATCAACTATATATAGACTAATGTTATAGTATATGATTGATTAATAGTACTTTATATCAAATTATTTATTATGTAACAAATTTTGAATATGTACGACATATCTAATTAGATATTTATCCATTTTTTGATAAATTTAACTATAATTTTTATTATGCATCTACTTAGTCTTTTTATAACATGAAAAAAAAATTAATCTTCTCATTATGAGCTTAATAGATCAATTAACCGAAATTTTACTGTTTATTCAGTCAGATGAAACACAGTTAATTTAATATACTCAAAATCATATATGTGGTACAGTATTTAGTAGGAGAAGATAGTAAATTAAAGTTGATTCGGGATAGAACTAATCGGAATGTTTAGTGAATGGTATTATTAATCAACTCATATGAAATTTGTTTCAGAACAATTCTTATCCATGAACAACGATAGTCGATATTAGGAATATCAATCAAAAACTTTCTATTATAATCAAAAGTTTTTTTCTAACCTTCATTATTTATTGGAAACAAACGAAAATCATATATTGAGAAACTCTTTAAGATCAAGGAACAGTTTGAAACATTTAATCATTTCTACGATAACATTCTAAAATGTTCCAAATTGGTTCTATTATTTTAAAAAATGGCAAAGAAATTATAATTCCGACATTTAATATTATCATGGTAAGTAATAGACAGAAGTATACTTGTGAACATCGAAATATCTTATTCATATTTTCTAAGACTTTATCGACTACATGCACGTATAATCCATCTGATCTGTTGAATAAAAGTGACCTCTGTTGAAGAATTTTCATTGGGATAAAAACTAAATAATATTAAAGTAAAAAGAATTTTTGTGTATGTATGAATTCATTTAGATTATCAAGTCAAGTGGAACGATGAACAATCTATATCTATTGAATTATAGTCATCATGTTATATATTCGAATTTTCGTTTAATTTCATCATCATTAACACCAGTGAAACCAACGGTAATTTCTCGTATTCGATATGTTCTTAAGCATTATTGGCTTGGATCAAAATTACTTTATAACAACTATAGAGCTATTCAAGGAATTAAAAAAAAGTTTGAATTTCAGTTTTTCTTTAAAGATAAATTTAATTCGTTTTTTTTTATTTGAAATAGAGATGAAAATTCTATAACACGTATTGATAAATTGTCACAAGAACAATTTCGTTATGATATTCGTGTTGGAATTCCATTTGTTACACTATTTAATATACCAATTCTCGGTTATTTAGCACCACTTATTGCTTTATTTGCTCCAAAATATCTTCCATCAACATTAATTATGCCAACACAACAGGTTATTATATTTAATAAAAATTTCTATGAATTTCATTTAATTTTCTCAATACATTTAAGATTACATTTTTAAAAGATGATGCAAAAACTTCATCATCTATAATTGATTCATTTATGAAATTTAATAAAACACAATATAATGATGAAACTATTTATGGAATGATACCAGTTATACAATTTATTAATCAAGTAATACAAATTTTTCCTATTTTCTTTCCAAATTCTATATTTACATTTAATCTTTTAATGAATTTTATTTTAAATAATAATCAGTAATACATTCTATATAATATGCACAGATTTAAATTCGAATGTAGTTATTTCGACTGTTTTCAGAAGTGAGATGAGTTTAAAGTATTTGCCAGGTAATATACACAAATTTCGCTGACATGCGCTTTTGCTGAACATTTAAAATGAGAACTATTCTAGACTGGTAAAAACCCAAACAATTTGCTCATTTCTTATTCTGATGTCGAAGGTGGCTATACTTTCTACTGGTAAATATTTCTTGACAAACAACTGATCTTCGAAATCCCTAATAATTTCTAATCGACTATAATGAAATGAAAATAAATTTGAGAAGATCTTATTGATATTCTTACTTATGAATGATTTTATTTTTCTAGGTCACGACTAGTGATGATCCATACAAATCAATAATATCATCAATTCCTGAATATTCTATATTATTTTCGAAATGTTATCCATTATCATCATTTTCTCGTGAACATTTATTAATTCTTCATAAATCGGTATTACATTCATCATTTCTTGCTCGTTTTTTCTTATCAAATTATTCGTTAGAAGCTCAGTTAGAAATGTGGCAATATAGAACATTGATTGATGATAAACAAATAGGAAATATTGATAAACTTTCTCCATATGAATTAGTTTCATCACTTTATAAACGTGGTCTTTATCTTCATGTAAATGATATGGGAAAGATTTTAGAAAATCAACAAAAAAATAATTTAAATAAAACAAATGAAATTATTGAAATAAATCAAAAGATTTTAAATGATTGGAAACAATTATTATATCAATGGATTGATATTCATAAAAAACTTTCCAAATATAATCCAATATCAACAACTTTTCTTCTTCATATTTCACCGTTACTTGTTAAACAATAAAATACCTTTTAGATTATTCATTTCTTTTATCAAATATTTCATAAATCACAAATCAATAACATCAAACTATTCCGTATTTTTTAAAAATGCTAATGATAATTTTGACAATGAATGAAATATTCATATTCTTACTATTTTCCAAGGATTTCTTGACAATTGTGATATATAAATTTTAAATAAAGGATCTTCTTAACTATCGAAACGAAAAAAACAGTTTTGTTGTCTGAATCTATTTTAATCATGAAAAGTTAACGACGCATCGTAAGCGGAATTTATTTTGAACCAAAGATTTCCCTGCTTCAAATTTGGTGTTCATCTTTCTAAACTATTTATTACTGATTGTTAGACATTGTTGCTAATAACCGGTTGTTGTTACTTCATGCTTTGGTTAATTTTATATTAAAAAATACTGACTATAGTTATAAATATTGTGCCAACTAGTAGTCTCATGCATTTTTTAAAACTTTTGAATCACAAAATTCATTTTTTAACAAAACTTAGTTCATGATTTGATCATGAAGTTAAACATTTTCTTGTAATGGAATTTGTTCTACTATACAACCATCTAATACACGAATGTGTTTGTTTTCAATTCTAAATATCGATACACTTGTAGCAAACTACATAATAAAGCAATTTATTGAAAATAAAGTGCATCAATATTTCTTCGATTTATCTGTACTTGTTTTTCTTCAGATGCTCAACAAGGAAAATACGAATGCCTAATTCGAACAATATAGTAAAATATTTCTTTATTTGTTGTAAGGGAACATAATGTATTTTTGTATATATTCATTGATATAATCAATTCACGTACTCTCTGCATAGCCGTTTTCATATCAATATAATTACATAATGATAGATGAATGTTGGTTTTAATCTTTACATTTGTAACAAAACCGTCATGTTACTAAGAAGAATTTGTTTGTAAACAGATTGTAAGAGAGAGCTCAACACTATCTTAACATATGAAAATCTCTTTTCTTAGGAGTATTTTGTTTGTTCAGTGCTAAAATGGGAAGATTGTTCATTAAAAAAAGAAGTATTTTTCTCTTTCTTGTATTTTGCTCCTATTTATAATGTATTCTTGACTATATTAATGATATAAAATTTGTTTTTACATCTCTTTTTCTTAGTCATTTATGTTGTTATATTTCGACTCATCCTGTTACATGTGTAATATGAATATTTTCTTCTACTCAATTGGAAAGACAAGTGAACTAACTGTTTATATATCTTTATTAGCTTTTTTCTTCTTTGATATCATTCATTATCGTAAATCGTATACCTGTTATACATATACTATTTCTTCTCATATATCTCGCTATACTTTCCATTTGTATCATATTTTCAATTATCCTCTTTAGTCTTCTATTATCGTTTGGATTGGTCTTTTTATCGATCAATCGATATTTATATCGATTGATATGATATTAGCAGAGTTGTTGTTGTTACATGTTTTATCGCGTTTATTAAAATAAAATTGTATATTTGATTCTAACATCTACCATAAAAGAAAAATCCAAGCTACGCCATTGACTAATAGGCAAAAGTATTACAGTATCCAATCTGGTTATTACCTACATCAAAGACATTGCTTTGTATTTTGCGTTCTTCAAACGACAAGGTTTGCCGTCGGCAATGGAGAAGTATAACGATAAAACATATGACTCTTCTCTCCGATTACTTATTTAGGTATTCAGTATATTTCGTCTCGGTTCAGTGCACTACATGTATGGGATAGGAAAGCAAAGAAGCACATAATTATAAAAAAGAGCACAAGTCAGCAACATAACTATTTAGAACGTGATACAGTCATTTGGCTTCTGCGCTTGTGTAATTATCATATGACTCATATACCATCGATTCGCACTACTCTTGAACGGGCTCGCTTTGCCACGTCCTCCCGTCTAATTGCATGTCTGATCAATGAACATCTAGTTCGAGCCAATGCTGATTCGCCTTATAGTGTTGTTATACATTCTCTCGATGATGATGTCGATATGGACAATAAACTCTTTCTCTCGCTCATTCATGCGATCCCAGTGGGTTCTCTAACTTCATTAGATCCCACTGACATAGTGCCTTTCCATATTTTGAACAAAAACCGTAAGGAGCTGCTTGTCCTGTCGAGATTGCCGATCAATTTTGGAAAGGATGTACGAGTGACCTGAAGCAAGAGTTGGCGAGTTCAGTTAGAAAACAAGAATGGATACTTAACCATCTTCCTACAAAAATTCCATCTCTCTTCTCGCCAGCTATCGAGTGGGAGCGTTATCTAATCGAAGGTCATCCAACCCACCCAATGCATCGCACACAAATACCATTTGATGGTTTTGAGTCTGTTTTAGCGATGCCCATGATCAAGTTTGTTTCGATTCCTCGCTCGGAACTGGTCATTCACGGCGATTGGGAGACGATTATGAAACATTATCTTCCCTCAGCGCCATCTCCCGACACTCTCATTCTACCCGTTCATGAGTTACAAGTGTCTAACGTACTTTCACGCATTCCATCAGCAACGCTCGTTCCAAACTTCGAACGGCAATGCGTTGCTCAATCCTCTATTCGAACAGTCGTGCCTCAGCTTGGCTCTGATTTGCCTGGCTTTCTTCTCAAACTGGCGCTGACAATATGCACGACTGGTGCATGGCGAACTATCTCTCATTATTCTGTCTACAATAGTCCTCGTATTACTCCACTCGCAAAATTCATTGCTCCCGAGTGTCTTGTCGTGTTGGGTGAAGTTGCATCGATTGGCTCGAATGCCACTGATGAAATGGTAAGCAAACACATTGCTTGTATTATACGTGAAGATGCTGAAGCACTCATGCCCAATGAATCGATTATAGTGGCACAAGCTCTCGTTGAGAAAACACCTAATGATGATATGCCTCTTGTTCGAATCATCTTTCATCTTGATACTGAACAGAAATGTATCGACTTCCTCACGCGATACTCTGAACTCGCTTGTGCTGCCTTTCTTCCACCCATGCTCGAACATGGATTTTGTTTTGAAGCACACGGACAAAACACGCTTGCCAGATTCGATAGACATACAGGACAGCTAATTGGTTTTGCTATACGAGACTTTGGAGGTATTAGGATCCATCGAGAACAATTCGAAAGTACAACTCCGTTTAAGCTCGATGTTTTACCTGGTTCATGCATTGTCACTGATGATATAATGGAAGTCTACATGAAACTATTTCATTGTTTCATTCAAAATCATATGAACCGGCTAGTGCGTGCGTTGGATCTTCATTATTCGCGTAAAGGTTGGACAGTTGTACGTAAAGCTGTTGAGAAATATATAACTGTCACGTCGCCAGCAGCAAATGCGTGGCTAAAGGAAACGGTACCGCTCAAAGCATTTCTCAAAATGAAACTTGCTGATAAATATAGGGATTACATTTACTGTGAAACACCCAATGTTCTCGCATTAGCTGAGAAGGACGAGGAAAAGTGATTGCATATCAGAGTTTTTTTTAATGTATTTGTAGTACACTTGATAAAATCTTTGAATAAAATACAAAGTCAATAATATCATTGTACGAATCAATTGAAACGTCATTCTACCATTTCTATTTTGTGTATATGCCCTTGTTCTTACTATCCATGGATGTAACAGGTACCGGTTCCATTTCTGCTTGAAAATGGACCCCGGATCATGTAACAAAATAAGCAATAACGAATGTTCTACAATCATGTATTTTATTTGAGTACAGAAGAGCATTTTTTTTAGAAATAATGTATATTTATCATACACATATACAACTTAATATAATAAAAATGTACAGTTTATTACAATGATCCGTTTATTAATTAAATTTTTTATATTGGTCAAGTGATTTTGTAGATGAAAATAATCCTATTATTAGAAAAAGCATACGAATTAGTGTGAGTTAACTTATGGTGATAAGCAAACTATACTTTTTCTAATTAAAATAATATAAAAGATTCTTACCGCCAGTTACTCCCATCCATGCCCAAATTTTATCCTTAAATGTTGTTGTTGTTGTGTGTGAGGGTGTGGGTGTGGGTGTGGGTGTGGGTGTAGGTAGTGGTGGTTGTGGTGACGATGCTGACGCGAAAAGCCGATCATTACGTGCTAAAAACAAAGAGAGCATATAGGTGATGTAATTTTTTAAGTTGTTTTCTTATACGATCAGAATAAATGAGATCATAAACAATATTATCATTCCAATTCCAAACAAAATTGTCATCTTCATCAAATGGTATACTAAAAAAAACAATAAAGTTTTCTTCAAAATTTTCTTTTTGTTCTTTTCCAACGGACCTAAAACAACGACTTTCATTCATCTCCATTAATCCAACAGCATCGGGGAATGTTCCACGAAAATACTTGTAACTAATTTTGTTATTTTCATTCACAACCAACTTAACAATAGCTTTCTTGTGGTTGTCAAACACTTTCACAAATTGCATTTTTACCTATGAATTTAAAAATAGCTGTAGTTGATAAATTAAAACCATGAAATTATATTACAAGTAATAATCAATTGAAGAATTTGATGATTTTAACTTCAAATAATGTCTGCGTCTGCGAACAAACAAAACTAGGACAATCACGGTAAAAGTTTTTTTATCTAATAATAATTAACTGATAAAATAGTATAAATGAAGATAGAAGAACAGCAAAACAATCTTTTAGATAAAAAGAAATACTGGCCAATAAAATCGCATCAATTGATTGACCGTAGATGTTACTTTATTCGTGATTGGTCAGTCATATTGACCTAATAACAATTGCTGACTAGAAACATTGCTGATTCACTTCGTAGAGCAAATGCCATCTTTCGGATAATATCGGAATGGTCAAATCTAACGGAAGAATCCTTTGCGGTGATACCTCCCGTTTTCATTCATTCATATCTCATTTAGTTAAGTATATTGAGATAGTAAAAACCCTAAAGGAAATTTCCCCCAAACTCTGTTGTTGTTGAAATATTGTATTTTTAAGATATAGCGATATCCCATTCCTGTGGTCCCCCTCACTTAAGAAACTCAGTTTTAATAGTATTAAGACAATTACGACCAATATACACTTGATCAATAATACTATATTCAAAATGGTAGATTGTCGAAAGTTTTATAGATGAAAAAGCACGTCACTAATAGGTAGATCATCGAATTCCTATCATGTACATTTCGATAATTTAGCTTTAGGGAAAGTGTATACACACGTTCTATTCTATCATAATTAGAGTGTACCATTACTTCAATTTCTGAGTAGTCTTCCTATTCTGCAATGTTGAACATTGTAGGAATCGATTACGCCATATAAGAAGGCCTACTCAACTTTGATCGAACTTCGTCAATTCCTGAAAACTCGGAATTTAAGACATAAATAAAATATTGTTCTGTTTAAAAAGAAATTATTAATGATAAATATTTGTCTGACAAGAATAATTGATTGAATTACTAAATTATATTAATATTTAATAAACTTGAAATGATAGCATAATAAAAAAAACTTTTTTTCAACAAAAGTTAAATAGGAATTTATTCATTTTGGTTAAGGCTTTTTTGTTATTATTAAAATAGTCTTGTTTGATTTAAAATAATATTCGCAACTGATATATAAGAAACATGTTCAATCATTTTACAAGATTATAATGGAATTTGAATTAGGAATATCTATTGAAAAGCAAACGAAGTTTCAACAACATTATCATGACAGTAGTAGTAACATTTGTTTTTCGAATAATATTAAATTTAGAAAATTGTGTGTTCACAAGTATATTTTCTTGCGAATTTATAACAATAATATTATGTTCATAACATGTCAGTATACATTTACCAAAAAATTTCATCAAAAACTGTCGCGGGAAACCTTTCTTTTCTAAGAATATGATACGATAGATGACAAATTTTGATTGAAATAGATATCTAGGATTTCAATTAATTGATACTCAATAAAAATTAAAATCTTTAATTTTTTTATTATATTCTTTGTAACAAATTGAAAATAAAAAATAAATTTACAAATTTTCATCAGTTGAAGTTGTTTTTATTCCTAATAAAAAAATATTTTTAATAAAATTCATTGATTGAAAAAGGAAGTTTATTTACCGATTTATTTCATATTGATAATAATTAATGTGATTTAATGGTTAATATCATTAGTGGAATGATAATCAAAAGAATAATTCCAATGAATATAATGATTCCAATTAAAATTTGAATTTTTCTCGAAAAACATTTTGGAAAATCATTTATAGTTTTACTAAAAAATAAAAATTGAATTAAAAGATATTTCTAAATAATATATCTACTCAATAGTAATTGATGTTTCTCGTTGAATTGTCCAATCAGGATTATCAAAAGATTTTGATTTAAGATCATTCTCATCAATTTCTGAATCGATATTAACAGAAGATTGAGGATAAAATGATGGTGAATGTTCTTCGATGGTATTCATCATTATTTAGATCACACAAAAACAAGAAAGAAATTATGTATGAGAAATATTCATATTATTATTTGAATAAACAATCCAATAGGTTTCATCAAATTACAATTTCTAATAAAAAATAACAATTCTATTCTTATTTTTTTTACTTATATTATTATTATTTTCTTTAACATACAAATCAAATCATATGTTTTACAAAAGAAAAAAACATCAAAGTTCTCGCTTCAAAATAAAATTTTTATACGAAATTGTATTTTTATTTTAAAAAGATTTATTTAAGAAGAAAATATCTTCTCCCACTATATATAGTTATTGTCATAAAAACGACTTTTACCAATTCTATCTTTCATCCATTAAGTTTATTTAAAATTACAATGATATAGTTAACATAAAATTCATTTATCTATTGAATAAATCACTATTATTATTATCGATCGAATGTATTTCATTTTTCTAATAATTAGTGTTTATTCTCAAGAGAATAGATATTTCAATTTGATAAAAAAGGTAAACAATCAAATAGAAATCTGATTAATGTAAGAATAATACGACATTAGCTATAAAAAGAACTTCTATGTATTTAATACGAATGGCACTTAAACTCTAATAGTTAAAGTTAAATTGCTACATCAAGTATTTAATCACCGTATTTTAAAGTTTATCACGAGTCAGAAATTATAGTGCAAAAAGTACACTCAAATAAAACATGTATAAACATTATTCGTTTTAAGTAAACATGACAATACAAGAAAAAAAAATATTATCGAATATCTGTATTATATTATTTGTCAAAAGAAAAAAGAGCTACTTTTGTATATATTTTCATTTTTCATATTAATTTGGTTTGTATTTGATAAAGAGTTATAAATAAATCGATAGATAATCTATCTTTATTCTTTTAATGAAATAATATACGTAAAACATTTACAAAAGTAGTCATAATGTCATTTTTATACCGTACGGAAATCTAAACGAAACTTTCTTTTTATACGTATTAATTTAAAAAAAACAGTGCTCTATGTTTCTGTTATATTTCATCGTATTTCAGTCGATATAATAATATTTAATGTTTAACAAAGAATTATCTATTATGATAAGCAATGGTAATATTATTCATCATATCAAAGATAAATATTTTAAAGCATCTGTTGGAATAAATTCTGTTAGAAATAAGATATAACAAGGTCATTTTTATGACCAGTAAGAAAAGATATAGATATATCGAATTACTAATTTTACATAACTTTCTAATAAGTTTTTATCAAAATTTTCCTTTGATATTGATTTTGCTTCAATGTAATACTTTATTTATAAGAATACAACCATTATCATGATATATTTTTTCGCATAATAATATTATAATTAAAATCGGATGACAAACAATAAAAATATTGAAAAAATGCATGGAATAAGAAAATTTCGTTGAGCTTTGTATGTGATATATGTATAAACATCATTTCGATTGTTCTCTGTATGAACTAGATAATATTTAATGGATTTAGTAATTATAACTATTTAACTTTCTCGGATAGGATTTTATATATATATAATAATTATTATAATCAGTATTATGTATATAGTTTTCTAAGAAAGCGGTAGTGCTAGTTTAGGACTACTTACTCTTATCGCATTACAAACGGGTCATACTATTTCTTAAAGAACATCGTATTAAAGATTCATATAGTCATTATTCAGAACATTTTATATATGAAACCGATGGATATGATCAGAATTTTCTTTGTTTTAATGAATATATTTGTGGAATAACAGGTAATGACAAAGATCATTTAGATATCTATTTAACAAAATAAACTTATTTTTAATTGTTGACTTATTCCACAAGAAACTGTTTGTATGAATAAGAAAATAATGCATATAATCTTTTCTCTATCTACTCAATGATGTTTTTTATACGTTAATTATTATTTATCATCAGTAATTCGATTGTTATACAATAATCATCTATTATCATAGAATCATCCACACAGTATCCTTCTATGGGTTTATATATCAAATATTTCAGTTTCTTTTAAAAAGTTGCGTATGTTCTTTTAAAAAATGTTGATTATTAGTTTTTTCTCAACAAAAATACTATTAAATGTTAGTTCTCAAATAGTTGATTTCCGCATGTTTTTCATCTAATTTCAATATTTGTTGCATGTTCAATAATTTTATTTCATGATAATCTGCCTCAGTCGTATGCCTGATTTAAGTGTTGTGTTTGTTGCAAATGTTCCATTATTGTGACATTTTAAAAAGAAAAATGTTTCACATTAATCAACGTATTGTTTACGTTTCTCTGATTTCTTCTAGAATTATCAATTGTGAAAGCAACATCATAGTTTTTCAACTTGAAAAAAAAGAACAACTATGCACAAAAATAATCAAACTGCTCCCAGAGTATTTTATTAGGAAAAAAAAATTATCTGATAATTTCATATTTTTTTTCGACCTCATTCAATTGATATTCATATGGATGAATAATTGAAGAAAGTCTAGAAATATTAAGTAATCCTGTAGAAGTTATTGTCGATCACATCAAGAATATTTATTCAGTTGATTATGGAAATCAATGAATAATACGTTGGATGAGTGGAGTTATGAAAAGTGAAGTTATGGTTAGCGAAAATGGACAAGGAATACAATCAAATCAGTTGTATGATCTTCGTGAAATACCATTCAATCGAAAAGATAACCTTTATGTGTTACCGATCGAGAGTACAATCGTATACAAAAATTTGAATTTGCTCTAATGACCAAATAATATTTGATGTATAGTTTTTTTTATTGTAAAAATTCATCTAATTGAAAATAAACAAATCAAATCATTAAATTTAGTTTTAATCATTTTTACAAATGGAATATATCTGGATACGAATAATAGTAAATACTCATACTCTCATGTAATTTATTCTTTTTACCATTTTTAAACATTATCTCTTAATAATGAGATTGGTTTTATCTAGTTTCTTTTTTGAACAAATACAATTATTCACCGATAAAAAACAGAAATATTACATGGTAGGATATATCTGTTATATCATTCTTGTTGTCGTTCTCTTTCTCTTTTACTTGTATACCGATCTTTTGTTTGCCGTGTTGTTTTGCTTTGTATCTCATGACTTTTTTTCTCGTTTTTTTGCTAAAATCACATATGTTGTAGTTTTTTCCTAATAAAACGGGAAGCAAGAGAGAGTGAAATCTCGCAGAGCAGTAAGCTTATTGCTACTCTCAAATAAAAGAAAAGGTATTTCAAACTGTAAAATTGAATTCTGAGTATTCTTACGAATGTGATTGATTAAGTGCACTTTGATATAACGTTTTTTTCCTTTAGAAATCGATTATTCATCAATGGAACAAAATCTCGCTAATCGAAAGTAACTTATTCGTATTGGAAGTGAAAAAAATATACTAAATTTTGTTTTCATCCTAGTTTTTGCCAACGACGATATGTTCGCTTGGGTATTTTAGTGACGATAGTTTGTGTACTAGTTATCTTAGGATTAGTGATTGGCTTTAGTATTGTACCACATAATTCTATAAATGATGACAGTGGAATAATAAATAATCAAACAACAAGAGGTAAAGAATGAGTATTTAACTCTTCGTATTGTTCATTATATATTTCTCTATTTAGATAATAATTTCTATCATTCATCTACCGCCATATCAACAACTGTTCTCTCTAGAAAAGTTATTTCTAATATTAAAGGTAAATTTCAACTAAATGATGATTATAGAATTTTTTTTGATGATATAGAAACGGAAACATTACCACAAAATCAATCGATTTTAGAGTCGTCGTGTTTAAATATACAACGAGACGAATTTCCTGTAATAATCATTGAAAATGGAGAGTTATTAGTATGCGGAGGTCGTGTTTCATATGGCGGTCGAACTCCAGAAGGTCCATTTTGTGAAATCTATTCTTCATTAAATCGGGAATGGCGAAAATTTCCTGATATGAATGTAGGACGACGTGGTTTAACACTGACGTTACTTTCGGATAATAGAAGTGTTTTAGCTATTGGTAGTGGGAATAAATATGATGCATATACAGCAGAAATATATGATAGAGATATGAATAAATGGTTCTTTGTACCGAATATCATGAACGTAGGTCGCATGGACCATACGGCAACACTTATGCAAAATGGTCAAGTATTGATTGTTGGTGGAGTGGCACCAGACGCATACTCATTCCTTTCCAGTACTGAACTTTATATTCCATCATCGAATACATTTGTTAAGAAAGGTAATTTAAAAACAGTTCGATATAAACATACAGCGATATTATTGACTGATGGACTCTCAGTATTAGTTATCGGTGGCCCAGTACTACGGCCAGAGATTTACAAAGCAGGAGCTTGGCACTACACCCTACACGACATGATTACGCGACGCCAGGATTGTGCAGCTGTATTACTTTTTAATGGAAATATATTAATAGCAGGTGGTATCGATTCAAAATTCAACACATTGTCATCCGTTGAGATATTTCAACCTGATACTGAAACATTCTTACCCGTTCAACGAATGGCATGTGCTCGTTCTGATTTTACACTTACACGCTTACCAACAGGTCAGGTATTAGCAGTTGGAGGTCAAAACTATTTAGATGACGAATGCTTACGTGTCACCGAACTCTATGATCCAATAACTAATCAATGGCAAAGTACTCGGCAATTGAATAAAGCTCGTTATGATCATAAAGCCGTTCTTATCAATAATAGTGTGTTGATTTTAGGTGGTGAGACAACCGACAATAACTATGAATTTACTTGTGAAAGATATGATCTATAAATACTGTTGTTTTTAAGGTGTTGGTGTTTGTGATCGAGTTCTTCTCACTTACACCTTTACGATCAATATTTTATTAAAGCACAAAAATAAAACTGAAAAAAAAAAACTTTAGAAATGATTATTACAATTTATATTTAATGAAACTCCAATAGTTTGTGTATCTGGATCAATAAGAAGTAAATCATCTTTACCATCTTGATTTAGATCAGCTGCTTTAAGTGATTGAAAACATGTACCAGTATGATTGAGAAGAAGTTGAAATGAAATAATATTCTCTTGAAAAAATATTCCAAGTTTTGATCCACGATATATGTTGATAGTCTGATTACGAGTTAAAATAGCCAAATCATCAATTGAATCATTATTAAAATTGATTTGAGTAATAGATACTGAATAATTATTTATATGATAGATCTGTCGTAAGAATGTTTCATTTCCAGAATTAAGTAGAACATGTAATGTATTAGATTCAGGAGCAATTAATACAAGATCATCGAGTTCATCGTCATTAAATCGACCTCGAATAATTGACTGTGGAATTTCAGAAATTGTGACTTCAAGAAGGTTTGGTTCTTTATTATCTTCATCGTCGGAATTAATATCATAAAGAATAACAACTTGATTTACAAAACTACATAAACTTAAATCATTTTGTTTTCCATTATTATTAAAATCACCGAAGACGAATGAATCGGTATTACGTGGAAAATAACGATATAATACTGTAGATCGATAGTCACTTCCATTACCTTGATTTAATAAATTATAGAATTCATCTACATTTTCTTCAGGATCCTTGCAAATAACAAGTAAATCAATAAATCCATCATTATTTAAATCATTAGCTTCTATTAGACGAACTTTATTATCCTTATACACATTATGAAACATACAGCAACATGTAACTTCAATATGAGGTACTCTGCTAAAGGAACCATCTGATGCGGTACCAAAGAAAAACGCTATTTGGTTTGTTATTGACAATGCTATAGCTAAAAGATATAATAAGAAAATCTTGAGTAAAAATACAGTGAATTATATCAAATATGAAAAAATTACCTATATCTAAAAATGTATCATTATTAAAATCAGCCGATGCTATTCCCCAAGGATAAGTTCCATTGCCAGTTGGATAAACTTGTTGTGTTTGAAATGTTCCATTTTTGTTTCCAAATAAAATACTAAATGTATGATCATCATAATTAGTCACTGCTAAATCTAAATAGGAATCTCCATTAAAATCACGTATGATAAATGATTTCGGATCACGACCAACTGAATAAGGATCAGATTGATATGTTAAAGTCATAGAACAAATTCCTAAAACAGATTTATAAGATTATAATCAATATATTCTTCCATAGCTTGCCTGTTGTTGTTGTTGATTCAATTGTTTTGGTTGTAGTTATCAAAGTTGTTGTCGATGCCGTTATCAACATATATTTTCTGTTTCTTATTCCAATTCCGACGACTATAACTGCGATTATTGTAATTATAATTAAAAAACACAGACAGATGACAATTATTCGATCTGTTCGATTATTAGATCTTGAATAATAACAAAAAATATGTGTTTAAAAAAGATAGTTAATCAAATTTGATTACTTACGATACGATTTGTTCCGGTTGATCCGAAATATCATTGAGCTACAAAAATAAATACAATAGAAAGTAATTTAATAATAATAATAAAATAAACATATATCACCTCAATTGTTGTTACTGGCAGATCTGGAAGAGTAGATTGAATGTCATTATCTGATTGTGGTCTTATTTTAGTTTTCTTTTTCTTTCTCCAACTGAGTAATTTAATTACTAAGAATGCTATAAAAGACACAACATATCGTAATACTTTTGTCAAACCACTAAATATAGCCAATGTTTTTATTATAAAATAAAATCCATTAAATGTTGTTGGATAAGAATATTGGCAAAATTCTGGAGCACATTCTTCATAATAAAGAGCAAATGGAATATTTTCATTCCATTCTTCGACAAAAAGTTGACTAAGAATTGTTTCAACTGTTCGATTAGATGAATATGAAGACGTTAGAACCTTAATTGGAAAAGATTTTACATAATACATCAGTGTTTGTAATAGATGTAAACATGTTTGATTAAAAAAACAAGAGAAATCTGATTGTAACATTGCATCGACAGGTAAACAACCAGTAAGAAAACTTGGAAGAATTTGTCTCATTGATTGATTTGATATTCGATATGGAAATGAAGAAAATTTTGCACAAGTTGATTGGAATACACATGAACAATTATTTTCACTATATGTTTGTGGTAAAGTTAAAGCATATAATATATTTTGATAAGTACTTTGATTTAATAATTGTATGTCAGTAAATGAATCTAAATCATATCTTGAATTAACAATAAATTTCCAATTTGATGATCGTGTTGTTGCTAGTTGGTTTGCAAAATTTGTTATTTGAAGTAATTTAAATAATAAAATAAATTCATTGGCTGTTGTCGTTTTAAATTCTTCGAATAACCCTTTTATCTGAGTATCGAATTCTATACGAGAAATAACATGCGCTGTTACAAAATCTCTTTGTAACCATAATGATAAGGACGAATTCAAAATATTTTTTGATAATGAACACATTGCTGATATCATATCCAATTGAGGTTTAATCCAATTATGAAAATCATCATCGTTATCTTTAGGAATGAATTTATTATCGATATTTTTCCATACATTAGCATATCTATCTGATGAAAAAAATTCACTCGAGCAAATTGAATGATATTCAGGATTGATTGATTGAATAAATTTATCATATTTTATTGCAATATTACTACATGAACATTGAAATGTTAAAGGATATTGATTAGATAATTCAGAATATTTTAATATTGATGGAGATTTAATATTAATTATTATTGTTTCTTTTGTTATCATTGTATAAATAACAAGAATAAGTAAACATATGAATACTAATGTTAAATAAATGCGAGTTAAACGTCGATGTCTTTGAACAATGTTTACATCTTGTGATGGTAATTTTATTGGATAAACATTTAATTCAATAATATATTTTTTCATACGACGTAATAGAACACGAATGTTCTCACAACAAACTAAAAGTAAAAATTTTTCATCGTTTTATAATCGAAATATGTGTGACACTGTGGTTGTGGCAAAGTCAGCATTTCTAGACAGATGGGTTATATATATACGATTGAACACTTTATTTTTGTTCCTTTATCCACTCTTTACGAAAAGAAAAAGTTAGAAAAGTGCATATCTGATTAAGATCAATGAAGAAGATAATCGGTAGATTATCGAAAAATAAATATAAAAATTCTGAAAGAATGATATTTTAATGGGCAATTGCCCATCTGTCTTCTCCCTGATTACGATACTGTCAAATGTAACGAGATATAACATCGTACAATACAAGTACAGATAAAAGCTTCTATGAGTCTATGGAAATAAGTAAGATAATTTCTTTTTAAATCGTTATGCACAGAGGGCACATCATACGAATTTAGATATTTTTTCTTTCTTTTGTTACCATGAGAAACAGAAAGATTATTTTAAAAAATCAAATGTAGAAGTTAGAAATTTCATTAAAAAATATATTTGAACCATCATAATAATATATTATGTTATCTGTCGTTTTTTTTTTCTCTCGCTCGTCTTTCTCTTCTTAACCTTTAACCCTTCTCTTCTTTTCTCTTTCTATTATTTATATAATACCAAACTTTCTACTTCTCTACTGTTAAGTTATATATAGCTATATAGCTTCATGAATGTATGTCTATAACACGCTTATAATGGGAAAATGTACTTTTGATCACCAAAAAATATACATTTGATCACCAAACTAATTAGCACGTAGGGAGCGATAGCGAGTTCATTTTATGAGTGTTGGATAATACATCTATGATAGATCATATACTTGTCGTAAAGGTTGATTAATCAATATAACAAGAGTACATAAAAAAAGAATAATTCATTTCGATCTGAATGATCGAATTAACTAAAAATACTTTTAAAGTTCCAGACCGTCCAAAAAAAGTTCGCACAGCATGGTTACTATGATTTTTTATTAACATTATTTATTTATTTTTGTGTCCATTTTGTGTGTAGTATTATCTTTAGTGTATGCGATTGTTATTAATGTATAATCTATTTATTAATAATAAATTTGGTGATCATTTGTATATATTTTTGGTGATCATTTCGCACCAAAATAATTTGGTGATCACTTGTACCGTTTTGTGGTGATCAAAAAAATTGCCACCCATTATAATTATTCACTACTTTCGATTTCTCTTCTCTTCTTTCATGTTTAATGTCTTAAGATCAAAATACGTCGCAGGAGGTGTGACAAAGATCTAATGGTAACTAATTTAATTCACTTTTTATGAGTGTATATCTTGATAACCCTTATGGGATCAATAAACTAATATGTCAAAAAAAATATAACATCGTACAGTTCTGATCAGTTTTTTCAATCGATCGAATCGGTTTCAATTCTGCTTTACCTGTTCTGTTAGAAATTGTTGCTGCGAATGTTCGAATCGTATTTTGTGGTCGAGAAATAATTTTAAACCAAATACAATATAATAATTTCAGTATAGATGGTATTAATAATCGAAGAATAAAATTGAGACCTCCTAATAGACTAGTAATTGTTGTAATAATATGCATGATATCAAATCGATTTTGATATGTATATTGACAGCTAATTGGATGGCATTGATTAAAATAAGATTCATAAGATATTTGATAACTAAATGATTGAATAAAAAGTTTATCAACTAATATTTCAATTCGATCATATTGACTTTCATTTTCTGCTAATAACGATAAATTCAGTGTAGAAAAATTTGTTGGTGAAATTCGAGAATCAATTTCATTTATAATCCAAGATAAACATGTATCATTATAAAAACATTCTAATGTTGATAATAAAACAGATCGAAGAGGACTTCGCGTTTGAATCATTCCTAAAATAAATTTTGTAAAATCACCTTTTGATATACTTGTGTTTAGAATACATTCTTCATCAGAAAATGAGAAACATGGAATCTGCTCAGATTTAATATTTTCTGAAGGTATTAAACGAAAAAATATTTCGTTATTATGAACATCTTCTATCTGTTCAAAAAGCGAATTAAGTGGTATAATTAATTGACTAATATCAGTATTTCCTTTCATTAATTGTACTGTTCGTCGATATGATTGTGGTAATGTTCTTTTGAATTGCTCAATAATTAAATTCAATTGTGTTTCAAACGATAAACGTGTAATTACTTTTTGAGTAATAAATTTTGTTCGATTTAATGATTGAAGATTATCATTAACTGTTTGCGTAGCTCTATGACAAAGTGTAAATAATAATTGAAAATGAATTTGAGATTGATAACGAATATCATGTGAGACAAATGGTCTCATGGGAGATTGAATAAATTGAAGTTGAAGCCAACGAGAAGATATAAATTCTGATGAACATATTTCATGATATTTAACTTGAATATTTGTCAGAAATTGATGATATTCTAATGTAGTATGATGACATGGACAATCAAGTGTTAAGAAAGATTTATTATAAAGTTCATCATAAGTTGTTATCGATGGAGATTCAATAGTAACACTGTTAATATCAGGTTCAAAAGTAGCATAAAAAGTAAGAATGAATAAAGTTAATAATAATAAAATTAAATATAAACGAGTTTGATGACGTTGTTGTCGAAGAATAAATTCATCAATTGAACGTGGAATACTTTTAAATAAATTAAGTTCAACAAATTTTTGTTTAATAGATCGAAATAATCTTTTAATTTTTATACTTATTGAAGTTGCTAAAAAAGAAAAAGATATTATATCACAAGTACCTATGTAAAAATATTTAAAGAAAAATCAGATTATAATCGGTTAAAATATGATTAAAAATCGATTTAAATCATACACCTTTAATCGATTTTTGACATTTTTAACCGGTTCTAACCGGATATAACCGAGAAAAACTCAACTTTTTTGGATTATTATGACAAACTACAATTAAAATCGATTAAGAATTCACAAAAAAAATTGATTGTAATCGATGAAAACCGAACTATATTTTTTCATTTGTCATTGACAAAAATCAATTATAATCAATTTTTTTGTGAATTCTTAATCGATTTTAATTGAAGTTTTTCATAATAATCAAGAAAAGTTGAGTGTTTCTCGGTTATATCCGATTAGAACCGGTTGAAAATGTCAAAAATCGATTAAAGGTGTATGATTTAAATCGATTTTTGATGTCTTTTTGACCCTGCAGACATACAAGCAAGCAAGCAGACAATTTATGTTTACTGGACTCTTCTCTACGAGAAAGAGAATAATCATACATCTTGAGGTATGGACTATTCTCCATGCAATAATTATTACCTGGTGCTGGTGTATCAGAGTTTACAGTGGTTTCTGTCGTGGGTGATATTGGTCGACAAATCTTTTTCCGTAAAAATGGCCAGATTTTTATAATCAACGGTGTGAGAATTCTTAATATCATTGATAATCCATTAAATAAACCAATCAATATTAAAAGAATATTCCAAAAACTATAACGTTGAGTTTTCTTATAAGAACATGATTTAGGTGCACAACTATAAAAATATTTATTGTATATTGATTGATTTGACCAAGATTCAACGAACATTTGTTCAAGTAACGTTTCAATTTTCCGAAGTGAAATCGATGAATTAAGTTTTTTAAAATTACGAGATGAATTAGTTAATTTATCAATAAATGTTTGATTATGAAAAGCTTCGAGAGTAGAATTCATCAATGTGCTTAACATATAACAACCAGTTTGAAAACCAGGAACAATATCATTATCAAATGTTGTTAAACCCATACAATTCGTTGCAGTTGAACTTGAGCAAATACATGTAAAATTATCTGTAAATGTATAGTTTATTCCAGGATAAGGTACCTTACCATCATATTCTAATCTAAATTGCATATTTATTGGTCGAACACTTGTTATTGAAGCACCAGTCATAAATAAACTTTGTGCTGTTATATCTTGCATAAAATTTAATGTTCTTAAAAAAGATTTTGGTGTTTCATCGATAAATACATTAATAAGATAGTCAATTTGAGCTTCAAAAGTTTTAGGTAAAATTAATTGAGATTGAATAAAATCTGTATTTCCAAACGATTGAAGACTTTTATTAAGAGTATCTTTTGTTAATTGACAAAAATGACGAAGTGTTTGAAATTGAAATACACCTATTCGACGAAAATCAATTTGAGTTGATTTATTCCAACTTTGATTATATAAATCAAATAAATAATTAATCCATTCTTCTGATACTAAATTACTTCGACATAATTGATGATAAATAGGTTCGATTTTAACGAATGATCCATATTTTATTGAAATATTTGTACATAAACATTGTAATGATGTTTCTTCCTTTATACGAGAATATTCTTCTAATGAAGGAGATTCAATTTCAATGGTTTGTGTATTAAATACAATACTGTAATATAATAAAAATATAATCATTGATAATATCATAAGAATTAAATAAAGACGAGTTGTTCGACGTTCATTTTGTATGATAATTTCATCTTCACTTTCAGTATTGAATAGATTTAATCGAGATAAATAGGATTTAAGAAAATTAAAGAAATAACACAACTTATCACTAATTGACATGTTTGCTGTTGATAATATTGTTTGAATAATTTCTCAAAAAATTATCAAGATTTTCACAGACGAAAGATCGAAAATTGCGATTTTAATCACTTAAAAGAATAAGACTCATGAAAGCAGTTTATTATATAGAAATATATCAGTATCAGAGATATCAGACTTGGAACCGCAGTCTAGTCAAAATAAACTAAAAGTTTTTTTATGGTAAATGTCATATTCTAGTCTTTTTCATATCTATATTTATGAATTTGATTTGTACAATTAGGAAAGACTACTAGTTGATATAGCATTTACAAAAACTGAAAAATCTTTTTTAATATTCTAGAATTTGCCAAAAATATCAATCAAACAGGTTTTTGCTAGTCTGAGAAGTCAGAAGTAGATAGAAGCTAAATCTCACACAGTTGTTTTACAGTATTTTCACTTACCTATAGCTGAATCGAGAAACTTCTGTTCAAGAAAAATAAATGAGTGAGAAGAAAAATATTTTATTGTCATGCATTTTCTTATCATTTGTTGCTTTTTTGAGATAATTGTAAAACATGACTTTTATCAATACATTAAACATATTTGTGCATTGTTTTAAAATAGAAAAAAAAACGGAAGAGCTTTAAGTGTAGAGATAAATACAAATATTATTTATCTAAATTAACAATTCTGATTTCATATGTAAAGACTGTGAAAGTCAGGTCTGTCACATTATTTTTTTCCTAGAATCCTGATAAATGAGTTTTAGATTATATCTGCGTTGATGTTGAACAACAGCGCATATTTTAATACATTAACATTATATTTATTTTAGAATGATAAGCAAATTTCAAGGTGTTAATTTACTTTTTCTCCACAATGTCATATTTTGCGTATAAAAAAGAGTATGGATGAGAATATGATTATGAGAGAATATACATGGATACAGGAAAATATTATATCTATTCTTGATTAATTATCTATGACAAAAATCTAATCATTCCTATTTCGAAATTGTTTTAAAACGAACAAAATCGATATATAATGATTAAGTTCGGAGAAATAAATCATTGTTTTATATTGTCAATGAGTTAATAACAGATATTTCTATTTCTTGATTTTGATGTCTTCTTAAACATCATCGGTATGCATGTAAACATTGGCTAACAATTAAACGAAGAGCATATATTAAATCTGAAGAAAATATCTTAATATTCATTCTTCAAATAATTTCTTTTTTACTTCCATATATTCCAAGCAGAGTCATTAATATAATAATCGGATTATTCCTGTCCGGTAATGTATAATGACATACTTGAAAATAAACTGTATAATTGATTCATTTTTCGATGAAATTTTTTTCATTTAAATCACCAAAATCCACCATTATTACATCCCTTATCCAAAGCTTACTATACATTTAATTTACTTGAAAAAATCAATCGTCATAATGCATGGCAATCCGTTCAATAATATTTTTCTCAATAACCTGATTGAATATATCAATCGATTCTCTGGTATATCATGTCGTTTTTGAGCAAATTTCTGCAAAGATTATTAAATCAGTGGAGAAAATCTAATTGTTGTTTATAAAGGTTATGAAAATATTAGAGAACGTATTTTTGATATATTGTAGGAACTTGTTGAGTTATTAAATACAAATGAAAATTATATGAAGTCAAATTAAGAATAGTTTAGATCAATAAATAAGAATAGAATTGTCATTTTAATATAAATCAAGTAATTGTTAATGAAGAAATGTAAACCTTGATTTAAAATGTTGAACTTTTACGATTCACAAATATTTCTTCACATTTAAAAGTTGAATATTCAAATGAAACTGACCTTTCAACTTTGACATTCATTTTATTATTGTAAGTATTTATTTAAATAATTAAACAAGAGCGACATCTTTTTTGAAATTTTCTTTCAAAATAAAATAATAATAAAAATGTTAAAATAAATGTAAAATTTAAAAATAGAATTTGAAATCTTTTGAAAGAAAAAAGAATTGATTGATTGTTGCATAACGTTTGGTTTATCAGTGAACCATTAAGCATATTTTTATTGATTGACTTCAATAAAATAATAGATCAAATATAAAGATTGATTTATTTTAATAAAAAGATCTTCTTTTCTATTTTTACAATCGAAAATAAACAAAGATTTTTCAATTTAATTAATTCATTTCTATTCTATCGATTTTAATTTAAAAATATTCTTTTATTTTTATCTTTTTAGAATTAATTTTATTCGAAATAATATTTCAATCTTGTCAATGAAAATGAATATTTATTTGTTCGAAAATCAAACGAATTAAATCTATGTTTATAAACAATATATTCATGTATTTAAATATGCAAATGATTAAATAAAAAGGAAGAGAATGAAAAAAGTATTGTTACCGAGTAACTTATTATCGAATATATTATTCATTACTCACTATGATATAATCAGATTTTTCGTTATTTGAAATTCTTCGAAAGAGAAGTATTACAAAATATTTATCTTTTATAAAATTTTATCAGAATAAAATTAATTTAACGAATAGAAATATAGTAGTACTTTTTTTTTAAGTGTAGTTTATTGAAAAAAATATTTGTTAAATTACTTTTATATCAATATCCCTGACCTTGAATGTTTTCGATAAAGTTTTCTTAAAGATTATTACATTTCCGTTAGCTTTTTATGAGAAAAATTCTTCGAATTGATATTCATGAGTCGAATTGGAAGTTTTTTCTTTAGATTAGAAATAAAAATAAGTTTAACGAAAATATTGTTCGTCTTTAAATTTTCTCGATAAAATCCTTAATTCATTTTTACTTTGAATATATATATTAAGATATTTACAATATATATTCTTTTCGTTTCTATGATGAAGTATTTCATGTATATATACATGTATAAATATACATATTTGTGTCTATAGACATACTTCCTATCCAATGCACTTTTATCATCATATTTTTATTTATCCTTAATAAATATTTTCTTTTTACACTTTTATTTTTTATTTTTTATTTTTTAGATTTTAATTATGATTTTTTTACTTGATAAATATAACTATATTCGAAGTTCAAGCCAAAATTTTCTTATACATGATCATATTCTATATATGATTTATAAGAAAAATACTTACTGATTAGAAGTCGCCAAATTCTATTTTTAAATATTGGTTTAAATTATTATTTGTATAAAGATGTTAGTTTGAGCATGAATGGCGCAAGGTCGATTCTTCAGGAGAAGCAATTAAGAATAAGATTAAACCGGAATGTTGCTCAAATCCATATGACTAGCTAAAAGTTTCATTTAAATAATTCAGAAAACGAAGGCAATTACAGGAAACAATAAATTCCCTCGCACACAGGGCGCGCCGTCAATGAGTTCGTGTAATGTTAATAGAGAATTTGCTTAAATATTATTTTAAGTCTAACTATAATAGAAAATCTTTTGGTTATTAATATTTTACTTAAGATTTTCATATCTTTAGAGGAACTTTCTAGTTTATAGAGATTTTCTATAAATTGACGAAAAATAAAATTTGTTTGATAAAAATATAATTCTATAAAGTCATGATTAAACTTTTTTTTTCAGGCATGATTTTTATAGAACTAATTAGCGATAGATTCTATGAATATTTTAACATAAGAGTAATAATTCATAGCTCGAGGAAAATGTTTCAAATAGATGAAAAAATTTTCCGCCTAAAGTAATCGAGATATATATGATTTTATCTAATTGAAATGTGATATTTTTAATAAGATTATATCTTAAAAAGAAAAATTTCGTGTATAAGATAAATAATAATCTTTCGAGATATTAAATATTAATTGCAGACTAAGTTTATTTTTATTTTTAACTTACGTTGATTTTATTGTGTCGATAAAAACTAAATATATATTATATTTTCGTATTTTTGTCTTCCCTTATTTGCTCTGTGTTCTGTTCTGTTCTGTTATTACTTTTTGATGTCAAAATGAAGCGATATTTTGGTAGAAAAAAAATACATCAGATTTATTAAAAGAGAAAAATCCAAATGAATGGGCTTGTTTTATGAATAGTTGCGTATTTGAAGGGCTTCGTTTTTCTTTTTATTAGTTTAAAAATAAAATTAACATTTGTAAGAAAAACTTTTTTTTATTGAAACAAATTTACCTGAGAACCGTTCGTCTGATAATGATTTTGGATCCGATATTCGAACGAGCAGGGATGAGTGTAAGTTTGATTTCTTTTAAACTAAATAGATTTCATATTATTTTTATTATTTTAATATTTTATTTTCTTTTCTTTAGATGAATAAAATCAAGCCATTCATTTATGGACCTAAGTAAGATTAATTTAATCGAAATGAAGAAATCTTTAATAGAATTTCTTTGATATAAGATCGATTTTATGAAAAAATAATCAATTGATGATCAGTATACTCGAGATAGATATTATCAAATTTTGCTAATATTAGTCTATTAGCTCTTTCATTAAGAAAAGAAAATAATGAATAATTAGTCAATTGGAATATCTCGAATTTTTTATCAAAGTTAAGAGAATTAAAATTCTCATCGAAAAAGAAATCAGTCAAATTTTCAGACTACACAAATAGCGAGAGATTTCTTCATCTCTTCTATGATACAAAAATCTTTCTCTTATTATAGCAAAGAGAATATTTATCTAACAAGGGAACATATTTGAGTGTACCCACGGAGATAGAGTTTAAAAGTATTCTACCATGTAGTGACCATGTTGAATATCTGAAATATCGACAATTTAGCTGCCCGTTCGAGGGTCAAAAAAAATAGCACTACTTTACATTTTTGCCATATGTTATATCCTATTGCATAATATCACGTTTTAACGAGTTCTTTTTCTAAAACTTGTGAAAAACATAGTTTTTCCCAGGAAAATAGACACATAAAACGAATAAAAGTTTCCATTTATGCAATTTTTTCGCTGGCAAAACCTATGTTGTCCATAATTTTTGGAAAAAGAACTCGTTAAAACGTGATATTAGACAATAGGATATAACATATGGCAAAAATATA